TTAAAAAAAAAAAGGGGGGGGGGGGGTCCTTGATTGGTGGAAGGGGCTGACTCAACAGCCCTGGGAATGGAAAGCCATTCATCTCATGAGAGCCATGCTCTCCCAGATGGTCTGCAACCAAATGAGAGCATGGTTGGCGGGGAGGGCTGTGTGTGTGGTGGTGGGGAGGGTTCTCTTTCCATGGCCTCCGTCTGACTGTGCCACTCCATCTGAGTGTCAGCCAGGGGCCAGTAGGGCTGGCAGGGCTCAGTGTGGAAGCCTGCCCAGCCTAGAGCTAGATTGGCCCCGGAGCCAGCCCCTTGTCTTGCTGTTCCACCTGAAATCAGTGGCTTGCTGTCTTGGAAGCAAACTCATAAATTGCTGAATCAGGAGATAAGGGAAAATCCCTGCTAGCTCCTCCGCTCCCAGCAATGCAGAGCATGGTGAGACGGGCCCGGCTGGGAGCAGCTCTTCTCTCTTTGAGTTGCGTCGCGTTTTGAGCTCACTCTGTTCAGGCAACAGGCTCTGTGTCTCCCGCTGCCCTCAGGGGAAGTTCCAGGCCTTCTACCAGTATGCGAAAACCTTCAACTCGGATGACTTTGATTATGAGGACCTGAAGAATGGGGACTACGTCTTCATGAGGTGGAAGGTAAAGGCCACGTGTCTGTGTGCCCCCCAAATGCTGTCTATGTGGTATGAGCAAAAGGCATGGACTGGGCCTGCTGAAATGCCAGCCTTCTTGTGGCTGCTCTGGCCAAATGGCATCTATTCCCCTTGCTGGAGAGGGTTGTCCAGTATTTGCTTCCTGTGAAAAGTGACGACTTTTGACCCCCTCAGCTCTTGTAAGTAAGTGGAAGGTGTAAAAGAAACATGTACTCCTTCCTGACTTGGGTCGTTCCCAAAGCTTTGGGGGAAAAGAACACTTGAAAAGAGAGAGAGAAAAAAAAGGGGGGGAGAAATCATGAAATCCAGATGTCAGTGGATTGTGGAGGGAGGTGAAAGAAGTGAAACTGCTTCAAACTTGCTCCTAAACATTGGCTAGAGACCAATTGGCAGTGCCTCTAAGACTGATAGTGGAAATATGAATGAAATGATAGTCTGTCTTTGTAGCTGTTCTGGTTGTAGTGAAGTCACAGCTGCGACCTATGCACACTCAGTTTCGTTCTCAGCCATGTAGGGTTGTTTATTCCCTATTCATTTGCTAGTGCTGGGCTCTTGCCTTGTAACATGCAAACAGGCATGTGCCTGACCGTGTTTTCCTCATTCTCTTGTGTTCAGGAGCAGTTCCTTGTCCCTGATCACACCATCAAAGACATCAGCGGTGCTTCCTTTGCTGGGTTCTATTACATCTGCTTCCAGAAGTCTGCAGCATCTATAGAGGGCTATTACTACCACAGGAGTTCAGAATGGTAAGGGGGTGGGAGGCATCCTTCCTCCCACAGGAGTGACTTTGTCTCTTCTGCTCTGCTGCCCTGGAAGTAGCAATGGGAATGTGCAATGCCACTAAAGGAATGTGGTTCTGCCTGCTCCCTAGTGCACACCCTCCCATCTGGGAGGCTGGGGTGGGAGGGGAAGGCTTCTGAGCATTTGGCTTCCATAGCTGGTCTGCCTGACCTCCTGAATGGCGCAAAGTGCTGCCCATTTGCATCCCAGTCACTGGTCAGGCACATGCCGGAGAGCAGAGCAAAGCTGAGGTCAGAATAGCTGGTGTGTGGGCAAGGCATCTCTGTGTTAATTGCTGCTAAGTGCTCCTGCTGCATCTCAGCCACTCCTCTGAAAGCTGTTTGAGAGGCTTTGCTCTGCCTCCCTCATTCCCTCCCCTGCTTGTCTAGCATCCGGTGGCCCAGATGACTCATGCCTCCGCAGAAGGCTGTTGCGGGGAAGCCATGACGTGTGAGGAGTGAGGGGATAGCGAAGAGTGAGCAGTGCCTTGGATGAACATGCTGCCTCTCCTGCTGCAGCTTCATCCCGCCCACTTGCCCTCATTCAGAATTCACTTCCCCAGCCAGGGCTGGGGCCCTTCATTCCTTGGCGACAGCCTGCACGCACACTTGTGCGTGGTGGTGGGAAATTAGCTATGGTCATTAGTTCCTCCTCTGTTGGGAGCTGAGCTGCTGTGGCTCAGCTTCCCCCGTTGTGGGGCCAATGCATACATGCAGGCACTTACCATGGGGCAGCTGCTGCGCAGTGGAGCTGTGTCCCCTCGTGCTGTCAGCAAATTGTCCAGTGCATCCATGCCCTTCTAGCGGGGCTTCCTTCCACTGGTTAGAGCTGTTGGGCATTACCAATACAATGGGATCACTAGGCCGTCTAGATCCCTGGGCAAATAGCTCCTGCCTTTGGTAGCTGCCAGCTCTGAAAGGTGCTGGCTCTGTGACCTGCCAGTAGTCTCTGCTGTCCGGAAGGCTCCTCCATCAGCTAGAGACACTGTAAAAGGGACTTGCTTCTCCCTGCCATGCATATGGCTGTCTCACATGCCACAGAGGGCCCTTACAGGTGTTAGCTCTGGGCTTTGGCTCCCTGCTTCCCAGTCTGAAGTCCCCAGAGCATTTGCTGGCAACAGCTGGAGAGTGGGGAACTGAGGAGGGAGCTGACTCCTGTCCATCTCCTAGCTAGCCCAAAAGGCAGGGTTCCTTGGCCTCCTGATAGGGTAATGACTGGCTGCCCTAGGGATGTGCAGGAGGTCAGATGGCTGGGGAGGGAGACATCACAAACCCTCACCTGCCAATGTGGCTTAGGGCCGTGCTGAACACACTCAAACATCAACCTCCTTCTTGTTTGGGAAGCAGCGATACCTGAAAACCAGCCTGCCCCATGCATGGCTTCAAGACTCGATGTAAGATCTTGGGCCTGTGTTCTCACAGGTATTTAGCCATCCAACCTCCACTGCCTTCAGGGGCTTATGGACGTCTGGGTATCTGGGCCTTAGCATTAGAAGGGGAGTGTGTGCTTCAGTTCAGGAATGGAGCGATCAGGTTCTAGGATTGTTGGATAGAAGACTGGCCCACTGCCTCCGGTCACTGTCTCCTTTTTTCTCCTTCCCCTCAGGTATCAGTCCCTGAATCTCACCCATGTGCCCGAGCACAGCGCACCCATCTATGAGTTTCGATGACAGCCACACGGGATTGACACTGAGCAAAAAAAACCAACAAACCCCACAGACTGGGCAGGAGGGACTGTCTGCCAAGGGACCTGTGCCCTGCTGGAGCAGGGGGCACACCACTCTTCTGCGCACCAGACTTGTGAAAGAAAGCATGAATGTTAACCCACCCGATCCAAGGAGCATGGCTGCTGCAGCTTGATTCTCCCTCCTGCCCTGCGGCAGTTTGATCTTTAATCTGGTTTTAAAGCTACCTTGAAATGCAGTTTCTTATTGCACAGCTAGTTTCTTTGTTGCTGAGACTCCTCCCGGCTTCCTTCAGGAAGGGCTTTCTAGTTGGAATCCATGGCGTGTTCTCGGAGTAATATGAAAGCGTGAGCTCAAAACTTACAGTTTCATGTTACAGCCCAGGCTGTGTGGAAATGGAAAGAGCTGCAGTTGCTTGCATTTGCCACCCTGTCTGCCACCGCTGACTCAGTCGAAGCCCAGGTGTGTCTACACATTAGCAAGGCTCTGCATGGCAGAGAGAACCGCTGAGCTGCAGAGGCGGCTGCGGGTGGCGTTCGGCTGAGACAAGTCCATAAGACCTAATGACCTCTTCAGTTCACGCTGGCTAACGAGGTGGGCCAAAGCTGCAGATCTCAGGAACACTGGCCACTTGCGCTGTTGGGAAGAGAAAAAACTGAAAGTCTCCCGGCCCGTGACAGCAGCTCGGAGCTCTGCTTCCTTGGTGTATATTTGCTCTTTACTTAACTTAAGGGTTGAAAAAAAGAAAAAAAAGCCTAAAATTTAAAAAGAGACTTTTAATAAAAAAAAAAAATATTTTTATGGTTCCTTTTCCCAGGACCCTCTGGTACATGCACAGTTCCTCCCAATGACACTTTGCTGTTTTCACATTGAAAACAGTGAATGTCTCCATCCATTTGTTTTCTTTCCTTTTTTTTTATATATATGTATGCAATCAACCAGCAGCTTCAGAAACCTCACCCTAGCCCAGCAGCATCGAAAGCAATGACACTTGATCTTTGCAGCATTCGTACCTGTCCCTCCTGCCACAGTGACATCCCTGCTTTGTACCAAGCGAAGGAGAAAACAAAAAGCGTCTCCTGTGACAGAAATGCTCAAGTGAAATCACTTCCGCTTGTGTGCCAAAGTGTGCGCGCGCGCGTGGGCTTATTATTATTTTTTAAGACCTTTTCAAAGTTGGCACCTGTTGTACATTTAACGCGACACTCGCACGTGTGGGGCTTTTGTGAGAATTTGACCTTCAGCCTTTCTGGCTGTTTTTAAAAAACAAATGAAAATGGAAAAGGGGTGGTGGGGGAACAGATCCATACCACAAGACAGCCAGTTGGCTTTTTCAGAAGGTGTGCCGCTTGCCACAGGGAAAGCAAAGCCCTTCACTTACCGAGTGCTAAGGTTTTCATTCTTGTTGTTTTTGGGGGTTTGGGGTTTTTTTAACTAACTTTTTCCTTTTCACATTGTCTGTACTGTATATCACAGAGGCTGGATTGCTAGTTTAAGCCTTAACAGGAAAGTATTTGGGTGTCAACTGACTGACTTTATGTATTTCAATTTGGGAGTTTGAGTTACTTTGCTTAGATTAACCAGGCTGGTTGGATCCATGCCCCAGCACTCAGAGCATCAGCCTGTCGCAATTTATTGCAGATATGTCCTGTTCTGCAAAATAAACTGGGGGGGAAAGTTGCCTAACTCTACACGCAAGGCGGTGGGGTAGGGTGGGAACCTGCCTGCTATGTTGGAAAAGGCACTGTTGTGTCATAGTCATGTGTGAGGAGTGGGAAAATGACTAGAAGACAAAGGCTGGGGTGATTCCAATGAAGATACCAGGGAGAAGAAAGGGTGGGGAAGGGAAGTGGCAGGTCGAAGGTGGATGTGATGACGGAGTGACTTGGTGAAGGCAGCAAGGATTGCTGTTGCTGTCTGTCGGAGGGGGAGGAATTTAGCCCCTTTCAAGGAAAATGGCATTTCCTATCAGCGGATATGGAAAACATGTTTATTTTCTTGAAACTAACCCAGACTGGCCTGTCTGCTCTAACCCCTGCTGAGAAGGAACCAAGTTTGTCTTTTCAAAAGGTCCCTTTTGCAAATGGAAAGATGCTGTTCCCTGTTCATTGTTTACAGGCCTCTGCATGCAGTACTGTTGCTGGCACCTGTCCTGACCTCCCCTCCCCTTCCCTTTCCCTGCTAAAATTGGTGTTTTGTCACCATTTGCAATTTCCAATACTATCAGTTGCAGCCGCCTGCAGAGAATGGGTTACAGGAAAATCCAGTCTCTATCCAGGAAGCTCTTGTAACAGGTTTCCTGAGTCTCTGAGACTTGATGCCTCCAGGGGCAGGATGGTGGAGGTGACTGTGGCTTCCCTACTCTCTTCCCCTCCCTGCCCCACCTATTTATTTAACTACCATAAAGCATATTTCAGCTGAAAGCCAAAATCACCTCCATGCAAAGCTGGGGGCCCAGATACACAGCAGATCCTGAAACCAAACTGCTAATCCTAATGGAGTGAAAAGGGGCTGGGTTTTCTTTCTTTTTATTTTTCATTCACTAAAGCCTGAGTTGGACTTTTTTTTCCCCCTCTTTTAAACTGTTTGATAAGCTAAAAGGAAATGCTATGGAGTACGTTGTATTGTGGTGAAAGAACTAACAAGATGAGGCTTCGGGGAGAGGAAAAGACTGGATCTTTGAGACTCAGAAGAGTTGGGTTTTTTTTTAAAGCTAAGTTGGCTGACTACTTATTTATAGATGAAATGTGGAAAAGGGACTGGGGCTGGGAGAAGTATTTTGCAGAGCTATCAATGTCCAAATTAAAAAAAAATGTATTTAAGGAGCTTATGTGTCTGTGTATTGGTGAACCTCAGCTTCGCAGGAGTGTGAGCTGCGTCGTGCTGCTTAATGATGTGTCCAAGAATCCGATAAACCACTCGGCGTCTCAGATTAACTCAATGGGCTGTAATTGGAATAGAATTGCAGGAAGCAAATCAGCTAAGGATCACGGCAGCTCGGGGAGGGGGGCCGCTGTGAAAACTCTGCCTGCTCATTAGCTTTACCAGAGGGCTTTTCTGGGCCACCACACCTGGCTCTCTCCTTTAGCTTCCTTTTCAGAGCAGCCCTGGCTGCCTGCCAGCTGGCTGTCACATCTTTTGACATCTCTTCCCAGACTTACCCGTGCAGCAAGGACTGTCAGCTCTGCTCTTCCAGCTTGGGAACGGGGCTGCTACAGGAAACCCAGTGTTTTCACTAGTTGTTCCCCCCCCACACACATACACACACACTTCCTTCTGATAAGACTGGAAATTGTTTTGCCGTTTCAGCATGAGGTCACTTTGTTTGCTGACTGTAAATAGAGGGGACGGGGGGAATGCCAGTATCCACAATGACGGCTTCGCACAGTGATTCTCAGCCCTTTAGGACTTGAGGTGCCCCAGCTGGATTGGAGGCATGCTGGCTAGATTCCGAACACCCCTGGCTAGAGGGAAGATGCCACATGATGGATTTGAGGCACCCCTGGCTCAGTGCAAGGCACTCCCAGCTCAACTGGAGGTACCCCAGCTCGATTCAAGACACCCCTGGCTGCATTTGGGGCACCACAGGATAGATTTGAGGCCCTCCTGACTCAATGCAAGCCACCCTAAGCTCGACTGGAGGCACCCTGGCTACATTTAAGGCACCACAGGGTGGATTTGAGGGCCCCGGGCTGCACCGGAGGCTGAGGTCACTTTGTGCGGGGGGGCCCTCAGCGCCCCGGAGCCCGGTGCCCGGGGCTGCCGCGCCGGCCGGACCGCGAGGCGGGTG